TCTCTAATTCGGATCGATGACCGGTCTGGTTCTGACAACACTGGTTTTTTTAATCAATCATCGATATAATCACTAACTATCAATTACCAATTGGATTATTGACTGATCTGATTGAATAAACGTTTAACTGCCCTCCTTTCCCCACGTTTTTCTTTTTAACCTTATTTTTTCATCTCCAAAACTGAAACCATCTAATCTAAACCAAAAAAGCAAGAAATATCACAACTAGGATGACAATTTCAACCTAACCCATTTTACTCGATCTGTTTGACTTGTTTTGGGGCGGGGCGTGGATGAGTATTCTCATCGACCTGACCTGCCCTGGCGCGCTCCATTCTCGACCCGTTTTTGTCTAAATTACATGTAATCTTAGTCAAATTACTTAGAATTTTCCTTTTATTACATACTAATATTTTAGCTATTATAAAGTTGTAAATTAGCGAAAAACTCAATTTCCAATAATTTAACTACATTTTATCATATTATGATTTGTTTCTTAGTCTTGCAATAAAATTAACTTACAATAAAAATAGCGAATATTTCTAATAATTTTTATATAAATTACATATCCATTGAATCAAACTGTCCCGACCCGCACCGTATAATAATTTTCCCGACCTGCCACGGGACGAGTATGAATATCGGAATACCCAACACAGCCCTGGCCCGTTGAGTTTATAACCCAGCCCGACCCGAATCACCGCAGGCACTTCCAACTTGAAATAAAAATCTTCTCCTCTCGTCACCGCCTCTCTTTCTTCCTTCTCGTTTCTCATCTTTTCTCTTCTCTCACTAAAAACAAAAGAGAACCCGGACCTCCAAATCTCAAGAGAGACTCTCCTGTTCTTTGATTACCTATTCGACTTGGTTTATGAGGTAAAAATCCCATCTTTTCCCGATTCCATTCCGTCGTATTTGATCTCAAAGACGAGGTCTTTTTTGCGGCATCTGCAATCTCCCTGGCCCCTACTCAATCCTTTCTTGCCTTTCGTTCCGGATCTGTTTCTGTTTGCTTTGATCGCTTTTGGAACAACGTCCTTCTTGCTTGATTTACGGGAAGTACTATTGAACAGTTTTCTAGCTTAAGATTTGGTTCATTAGTGCTGTCCTGATTATTAGGGTTTCTAATTAGTGGCTGCTCTCTGTGTCTGTCTGCAAGTTTGTACCTTGCTGTTGTTTGTTTGTCCTTCTATATATGTGTATCCCTTCCATTGATTAGTTTGATTATTTATTCCTCCCAAATGTGAGTAGGACCCGTAGTTTCATATTCGGAGCTAGGATCAGTGTCCTTTTTAATAGTTAGGCGTACTGGCTTCTCTTTCTGATGTTCTTGTGTGATTGGGTTGTCTGATCTTGGTAGTAAATTTCCTGGATTTTATGATGCAGTATCTTTCCCCCCCTTTGCTGGTTACATAATTGACTGCAACTGATCCTTTTGCTGTTTGTTTGCTCTTGCAGCTCCAAGGAGAAACCCACTCTTGGGTAAGCTCTATTTTCTTTTGAATTCTCTTGTGAATTTACCTAGCTGAATTTCGATTGGTAACCTTGCTAAAAGGTTTTTTTGTTTATGGATCTTTTGAAGCTATGTGTGACTAGTCACTGTTCATACTCTTGGATGCTGTTTTTCTGTTAAGCTGCATGATTGGCCCAGTTCATTGAAGCCCTTTATGTGTGTTTGCAGTGGCACGCGGATTAAGACCCGCAAACGGAATATTGCAGCGTCGCTGGACCCTGCAGCATTTTCGGATGCAGTGGTCCAGATATATCTGGAAAATGCTGGTGATTTGGTATGTACCGCATGGTTTCTGTACAGTGATTTATGTTGTATGAAATGCCTTTGGTGCAAATGTTTGATTCTTATCACAATAACCGTGTTCCAGGAACTTGTTGCTAAGAGCATTGAATCTTCAGAGCTGAATTTCTCAAGATACGGTGACACCTTTTTCGAGGCAAGTACTTTCATCTGTCATAAATAGAAGTTGTCAATAAACAGCAGATTCCCTGATCTGATTGATCAATTTAATCATTGGATCTTTGCAGGTTGTTTTCACAGGAGGCCGTACTCAACCTGGCACAACAAAACCTGATGAGGGGGAGCGACATCCTTACTCGTTTCTAGATTGCGAGCCTAAGCGGGATGCTGTTCTACCTTCTGTGATTTACGTACAGAAGGTTTTACGCCGGAGACCATTTCTCATAAAGAACCTTGAAAATGTTATGCGGAGGTTCCTTCAATCGCTGGAACTCTGTGAAGAAGATGAAAGAAAGAAGCTGGCAATTTTCTCCGCACTTGCATTCTCCCAGAAACTATCTGGACTTCCACCAGAGACTGTCTTGCAACCCCTGCTCAAGGATAATCTTGTGGCCAAAGGGATAGTCCTTGCATTTATAACTGACTTCTTTAAGGAATATCTGCTAGACAACAGTCTTGATGACCTGATATCCATCTTGAAGAGGGCTAAAATGGAAGACAATCTTCTAGAATTTTTCCCTTCTTCAAAGCGAACTGCTGAAGCTTTTTCTGAGCATTTCACGTAAGTTATATACTCTTATTTCCATTCCTTTTCGGCCCCTGCTCTCTCGTAACACATGGGGGCAACTAATGTGTTGAATAATTATCATTGCTGTGATGTGTGGCATCTGATCAGTGCTGTTTTGTTGCCGACTTAGTCCTTGCTGGAAGTTGTTTATATTGATGATTCTTGTTTTTTTCCTTCAGCAAGGAAGGGCTGCTTCAGCTAGTTGAGTACAACGAGAAGAAAATATTTGAGGAAAAGCTGAAAGAGATGAAGTCTGCTTTGACAACTTTGATAGCCGAGGAGGCTGATCAATCAGAGGTCCTGGATGTTGTGAAACAACGTGTTGCTGATGCTAAATTACCTGAAATTGAAGTTGTTCGAATTCTGTGGGATGTGCTGATGGATGCTGTTCAATGGTCTGGGAAGAACCAGCAGCAGAATGCTAATGCTGCACTGCGCCAGGTACATTACTTATGTTTCATTGGTTTGTAAGTGCTACGCAAATTCTGGTTTGTCAAGAGTAGATTTGGTTACAGTGTATGTATCCACTGGTTTCTGTCTTGCTGTCTTTGAACATTGCACAAGTTTTCCTGTGTATGTGTTGTTTTTTTCTTATCTTATATTGCAATGCTATAGCACCATCATGAAAATGAGAGGAACTTGGGGAGAGAATGCACTTATTTGTTTCTAACAGTTGTGCATATGATTGGAGGTTAGAACTTGTGACTGCTTCATTTTACCACCAAATGGATATCAAAGCTTCTTTTCCAAAGCTGCTACAACGTTTGTTGGCAGGAACTTGAACCATTTGACTTTTTCCCTTGTAATGGAGATGATTCTTTTCTGTTGCAGGTGAGAACTTGGGCAAACCTGTTGAACACCTACTGCACAAGTGGGAAACTCGAGCTGGAACTCCTCTACAAGGTGCAGATGCAGTGCTACGAGGATGCTAAGCTCATGAAATTGTTTCCTGACATAGTTAGGGCTCTCTATGACCAGGATGTGCTTGCTGAAGACACCATTCTTCATTGGTTCCGTAAAGGAACGAACCCAAAGGGCAGGTAAAAAAAAAAATGCTTAGATATAATCTCCGGCCCATGTTTCCTGCGCCTAGGTAGATGTTTTCTTGTGAAGTAATTTGTGGATGTTGTTTGTGCAGGCAAACCTTTGTGAAGTCCCTAGAGCCGTTTGTGAATTGGCTGGAAGAGGCCGAGGAAGAGGAATAAATTGCTTTGACAGCGACCAAAGCAGCAGCAGTGGCCGGCAGCTGTTTGTATAAGAAGTGCGAGATAATGCTGTTTGCTTATTTGTAATTTTTCCTTGGCTTTCTGTTTCAGAGTTGAGTTAAGTTGGTTGGATATTGGGGGCACCCTATTCAAACATAACGGATAACGGTGATGATGATGAATGATGTTGTGTTGCTTTTCGTCAGATGGGATGCATCAAGTTTCCTAACAATCTGCTGACCTTAAGTGAGCATTTTACTAGAGATGGCAGAAATCCGTAACCTTAACCTTGGATATTCGCCCGAATACGATCTAATCGGGTCGGGTAGGGTAAAGTTCGAATCTAAAATACTTTTAGTGGGTATAGGTAAAATCCGAATACGTGGGTAATGGATGTGCATGGTATTTTTCATGGTTCATTAAACCGTACCGTACTGGCGGTTCAATCACAAAATACCAATATCGGAGGCTAACTCGATAGGCGGTAACGGTATTAACGGCTGAACTACGGTTCAACCATGATTTTACCATAAAATATCCTACTACCAACTTTTTCGGTACGGTTTCATGGACCATGGTATTTTCACCATCCAATCCGAACTTGCTTGATTGTAAACATGTTTATGCATTTTGTCTAGAAATAATTATTATTGTTTTCTAACATATTTTATATTTAGCTTACAAATATACTACTTTTAATGAACTTGTGTTGTTTTAATAAATTTTCTTCATTCTAGTTAGGGATGGCAATTTTGACCTGACCTGTTGTACCCGACCTTTTTGGCCTGTTTTGGGGCAGGTCCGACCCGCCCCGTAGGTGAGGCGGGGGGGACATGGTACCTCTCATCGACCTGACCTGCCCTGACCCGCACCATTGTCGACCCGTTTTTGTATAAATTATATGTAATCTTAGTCAAATTACTTAGAATTTTTATTTTATTATCTCATATTTAGCTATAAAAAAGTTGTAAATAAGTGAAAAGCTCATAATGAATATTTCTAACATTTTTCACATAAATTACATACTCATTGGGTCGACATGCTCCGACCTGGACCCGGCCTGTCATGGGGCGGGTATGGGTAACGAGATACACGCCCCGGACCTGCCCCATTGTCATTCTTCATTCTGGTGAAGTATTGTCGTAGTTTTTCTCCTATGTAATGTGAGAATATGTGTGAATGTTAACATATTGATTGGAGTTTTAACGATAAATTATTATCCATGGATAAACGTGGATATCCGAAACTCGAACGAGTATCGGCATGCTTTTTATTTTCTACATGTTTCTTATGTGGGTATAGATAGTAAAACCCGAACTATTTTGGGGTAGAGTAACGAATATGCCCTATCTGCTACTGACCCGACTCGTTACCACCCCCTAATTTTTACCCACGCCGGGCCACCACTTGAATAAACAGTCAAATCCCTTTAAAAGTTATAGAACACAAGTGAATCAAATGACACACTAATGCATGCACTTAGAAAAAAGTCTGTCATAGTGTCTATCATTTGGTTGGGATAGTTACAATGCATGCATTGTCATAATGTATTGTTTTTTTAGGAGTCGTTCTATTTTGGTGATAGTTAAACTGATGAATTGTCATCAATGCATTCATAATAATATACATGTATAGAGAAAACCATAACATGTCATCTGAATAAAAAAGAATATTTCACAAAGTGCTCTCTCTCAAGTTCTTCAACTGAGGAGATGTCGTTTCAGATCCATTGTGGCAGTCAGGACTCAGGATCACGTACAAGAAAGTTCCCCAACAGCGGATACCAACCACTTAAATTACGAAATCAGATCGAACTTTCTTTGCATCTTCCTTCACTGCTTCTCCTGCAAAATCATAAAAGAGACATGGTTGGATGCTTTTGATGATGAGCCAGCCAATACGTCCCCTAACTTGTACCAGGAGGACGACATACTATGATTGGGCAACAGATGTTAAATTTACCACTTGACAAAAGCCTGAACAGTAAACAGGAATAGGCTAATAAAACAATATGAAATCTAGATAGCTATAGATACAATACAAGTCAATCTATCATGCTACTCAACAAACGCAAACGTCAAGCATTCAACTATCCTCTTCATCGTAATTACCTCGCCCTACTATCTTTTCTTATAATCTTTCTACTGGGTGGAAAACTTAATCCAATGCTACAATCAGAAAAACGGGGAAAACCCAAATCAAGGCTTAAGAGCTACATATTCGAATGGCAGAAGCACTTTCAGAGTACACAGAAGCACTTCCGTAACTGCAGTAAGTTGTCCATAACCATCCTGGTCTCGAGAAGATGATGAAAATGCAATCGACCCAGACTTTACCTTCAATTCATACCAATTACAAAGTAAACAACCATAATTAATCCCGCGTCTCGTTCACTAGCATATGCATGTCAGCATGAAAGGGAAGAGGCTACATTGATCACATTTCGGAATGTAGTTAGAACTGACTTTCATGTTTGGATGGGTGAATCTAAGGCTCTAAGCACAGATTATCACCCACCTTTAGTGCTAGCTCCTGCCGATTCCTTTCTTTGTTCTTCAAACTTAAACAAGGCAAAATATGGATATACACTTCTTGTACACACTAATCCAAGATCCTAGTAAAAAAAAAAAAAAAAATCACGCCCAGACCAAATTGAAATTAGCAAGACTGCTTGCTCACAAATTGGCTTTCATCCATAAAAATGCTCTTTATTCCTAAAATTTCTACACATTTAACCCTTCCTGATGGGCAATGGTAGCGCAATCGGATTTCCGAAAAACAATGACCATCGTAAGAAAAACCCTAGCATTTTGCCGCTGGGCGGGAATGTCATATTGAAGGAAAGAGGGTGTACCAGTTGGTTGAGGCGCGGGCGAGTAGCCGTAAATGGCCTGGAGTCTGGCGAGAGGGATGGAAGAAGATCCGGCAGAGGCTTCAGCGAAGAGCTGCTGCTTCCAGTCCCACATGGATTTCTTCATGGATTTATTGGAACTGAACAGTGACGCCTTTTCTGCCTCCAGAGCATCAAGTTGCCGTTGCTGGTAGCTTGATCGCAAACCGAGAGCGACGAAGGATCCAACCAGGAAAACGTTTATGACCGTGTTGTTGTTGGCGGCTTTCATCGCCGCCGATATCAATCTGTTCGCCGCCTCCATTTCTCTTGGCTTTGGCAGGGCAGGTGGAGGATGGAAGAGTAACAGAACGAACTAATCGTCTCGAGCTAAGGCTTTCCACAAGAAGACTCCGATTGGGGTAAATTACAGACTTTTCATTGTTCAAAATTTATGCTTCCCAGTTCAGTACCCTCACTCCTAGAATTTGCGATTAGGTCCAGAAAATAAATTTGACTTTTGACTTCATCCGATTTGCTCCTAGTCCTATCCATGGGAATTCTGGTCCTCAAAAAGATTTTTACATTTACAAAGAGATTCTCATTTCCACCTCTTGCAACTTTTGATTTTTTCCAAAGACCAAAGTACACTAGTACTTAAAAGATTTCTTACAATGCACTAATTTCATAAAGAAAATGTCAATCTATACATGATTCTCTTCGATCGCTACAGACTCAAGCGATCTGCATTTTAATCGGTTAGGTCGAAAACGATATGTCTTTGATCGTTGAAGCAGAACGTGATCAATGTAGACTGCTTGTAATTGAAGCTATGCAAGCATTGATCGTCGTAATTAACGACGATGTAAGTTGAACGTGCACCCTTAATCGCTTAGAACAAAAGCAATATGGGATAGATCCCTTTGGTCTAAAACAATCAATCTGCAGATCTCCTAGCCTTAAAGTGATTGCGCTTGCAATTTCTCAACCATGAGTTATTAACTCAGGCACTTCTACATAGAACTGGTACTCGGTCGGTAACCGGTTTAAATGTTAACCAGATATTTGATTAATGGTATTCTGAAATACACCAAGAACCCTTCTGTATACTGATACTGGTTGATATCCGGTATACCAATTTACCAACTAGCCGGCTATCTGTAAAAAATTGGTTATCGAACAATCAAGGATGGAGAGGGGCAAAGTTGTTTCGGAGGGGAGATAGAGAAGGCAATCGTGTCCAACGGCGGAGGCCCGAGTCCTTGCCATCCGACGTCTTTCTCCTTTTGGAGTGCCGCCATCTCTTTCCTCTCTACACCTCTCCAACGGTTGTCAATCGAAAATCGAAGATACCCCACCAGAATTGTCCTCGCCACCAGCTGCCGGAGGTAGGCATGTCAAATGGGTCTTAGGGTATGAGTTTTATGCAAACCCAATAGAATTTGGGTCAAATCAGGTTTTGGGTTTTTCTGTTTTGGAGTAGACCCATACCCATCCAATTAAATTGGGTCCAAGATAGGCCCAGAAAATTAATAAAAAAAAAACAAATCTCTACAGAACCCAAACGGTTCTCTTCGACCTAATACGCTTAACCGAGAGCGATTGCTTTGCTTCTCCTTCTCCACCATCGTATCCCGAGTCCCCGACGCCGCCGCCGCCCGCCTGCAATCCCAAATCTCGAAGACACCGCCTGCAATCAGTGACCATCAGCCCCGAAGACGCCGCCGCCCGCCGGCCTGCAATCCCAAATCTCGATCAGCGACCATCGGCCCAGAGCCCCCGACGCAGCCAGCTTCTCCTTTTCCCCACCATCGGACCCCGACGCAGCCAGCTTCTCCTTCTCGTGCTGGTCTCGATCTCCAGGTTTGCCCCATCTTCTTCTCTTCTAGATCTTGCCCCCTCTCTGTTTTCTCGGTTCTGGGTTTGGTTTTGGGTTTTTTTTTAGTATATTGGTTCTGTGTCAGTGCTTGTAATGTAGAAACAGGGTGTTAATTAGCTCTCTGTGTATGTGTGTGTTTCATGACATATTCTTACTTAGCTGTGATAGCTGGTAGTTAACATGTTTTTATTTGTGCTCGAAATTTCTGCCTTCCAGTGGATTTGTCAGACTTAGCTGTCTTAAAAACATATACAAATAGTCGGATCCTGATTCAGGTGTTCCTTCCAGCCAAGGGTTTCTTGCTGGGCTACTCCAATCCCAAGGTAAAAGTATGATGGAAAGTACAGCTTTTGGATGCAGATTAGCAGTGAAGGAAGAACACCCTCCCTTGCTCACTCACTCACTCAATGTTTGGTTACTGCTTCTGCCTGATAAACTTTACTTCTTTTCTGCTTTTAAGTTTAGGAATTTACTAATGGGAACTAGAAAGTCAGAAAGAGAGTTTTCCAGGAAAAACACATTCTGCTGCTTCTAATCCCAGTTTTGCTACTTCCTCGTGATGCAACTGCTACTTTGCTGGAGTTGCCAAGCATATACTAAATTGAAGTTCAGAATGAAATAGGTTTGACCAATATATCTTCAAGTTCAAGGGAAACGAATAATAAAAGTGGTTTAAAAATATTTGCTTGTTTCATTCAATACGAGGACCAATCAAGCTAACATTAAGCGTTTCAAGACTACAAAATTTTTACCAAGGGAAAAAGGAACAGCAAAAACCCAGAACCCCCCTTAACTATACAAAAGAATATGTTCTTCCCCTAAATCAGAGGCAATGCGATTCATTAATTTTTTGGCCATCACGGTTGAAATTTCGACAGGGAAAGGCCATCACGGTTTCTGTTTTAACTTATACCCAAATGGACTCATTTGGGTCGGCCCAAATATACAGGTCCATTCTGGACCCAATCTAAACCCAACCCAACCCAAAAAAAAGTAAAAAGAAATTTGGGTCCAAACCCAATACCCATATGGGTCAAGGTATTTGGGTCAAAAAACCCAATAGGCCTACCCATTGACAAGCCTAGTCGGAGGGCCAAAATCATCCCCGCAACCAAAATCTGCCCACAAAGAATACGCGAAGGCGGTTCAAGTTCGTTATGATCCGAATGGGTTGTGACTCGGCGGTGGCCGGTAGGGCTTCGACTGCTAGGGGTGTTCAAATGGTTACCGTGGTAATAACCAAACCAATTAAGCCTAAATTTCATTAACCATGGAATAAAATGTCTTAACCAAACCGTCCAAATTAACACGAAAACCAAATTAACCAAACCAAAATTTAATTGGTTTGGTTAATCGGATAATCAGATTAACCAAATAACATAACATTACATGAAAATAATTATCCTGTTAACGAACAAACCATAACCATATGTTATTACTATCATAAACTATCATTATATAAGCAATAATAATAAGACTAACCATCCATGATTATCATAATCATTCGAATTAATACATCATTCATCATTTCTACACCTAATATAGTTAGCTTACAACAAACCCATAACATAAATATTAAATACATAACAATACCACTCATCAGGAAGTTACAGCTCTCCTACAAAACACTTAAACTATACATAGTTTGAGGTGTCTGTCATGGTATTGTATGTCATCCTAAAGTCTAGTAGTTTTCCAAAATGTTTTGGTTTAGTAAATAGGCAGACCCATTTAATTTTTGACCCATAATGCTTTGGTTTGTTGTGCACATGGAAATAAAATAGAGAATCACGAAGGTTTGGTTTGGTTGGTTGCATGGAAGTATAAATAATTTTGTATATTAGGTGTATCATTAATTGGTCAATTGTTTCATTGGTTAGCCGTGTTGAAACCAAACCAAACCACCTAAACCAAATAAGCTAAATTGTTTAACCAAACCAAGCCAATTATCCAAATTAACCAAACTAAATTAACCGAATGCTACCGGTTAATATGGTTACCACGGTAACCAATCCGTTTGAACACTCCCTATCGACAGCAACGAAGACACACCTCTTTGCGACATGCAAGCTGTCGAAGGAGACGGTGAGAGAAACGATATGCTGTTGCTGGCCAACGATGAAGCTAATTGTTTCGTGGTTGTGGGTGATTAGGTGTAGATCTATGGGAGAGATGAGAGAGGAGAGGAAAAACGGTGAGAAGAGAAGAGAGAAGAAACTCAGAGGAATGGAGGTAACGTGGATGGTGGTTGTGGATTGGGAGAGGCAAGACATGGATTGGGGAAGAAGAGTTGCTTAGTTGGGGAAGAAGAGTTACATAGGGAGAGAAGGGTTCACTCGCAGGTGAAAGGAGAGTGGGGAGGGCTTTCCATTTGCTGTGATTTAAGGGTGAGCGACGGTAATCTAGTATACCGGTTAATTGCCGGTTAATAACCGGCTACACTTTGGTATACCAAGTGCTATTTTTTTGCTATCGCATACCGACATCGCCTGTTACCCGTTTGATATTCGATTAAACGGTTATCTGGCTAATTGATTACCAATCCTACTTCTACTTTACCACTCCAATTAGGCCAACTATAACCTAATTTTGCGCAGTAGTATAGTGGGCGATTAAAGTCGTATTCCAGGGGCCTTAGTGGCCTAGCATACTCGAGAGCTCTATTATTATCTAGTCGATTCTTTAGGAGTTTTTGTTTGGAACTAAACTAATTAAACATATTAAACTAAACGAGATGCACAAAGAGAAAGATGATACTCAGGGTTCAGCCCCATCACCCTAGCATACGAGTAATGACATGCAATGGATAACATAAATTTCTACGACAATGGAGGCATGAGAGTGAATCCATGATAATTCCTACCCACTTTAAATGAGTTTAACCCATAAGCACACATTCTCAAGTGAATCAATGATTAGTTAAGTCCCTACTCAACCTCAGGAGATGTTCACCTCAACCTAGGTCAAGCCCTAAAATCATCATCACATGACATACAACATGCAAACAATATTCATATGCACACAAATCATGTAATAAAGCATTAGAATGCTAATTGAACTCAAATACCCCATACATTAAAGCATGCCATTCATTACACATAAAATACCTAGTTAGCGTTTGGGGGCTTGGCCCCAAATACCTTACATTACTATCCCGTGAAGGGGAAGAAAAACACATAAAAAGGGAAGGAAAATCATAAAAAGAAGTGCCCTTGTTGTTGGAATCCTTCTTCTCCAAAATCTTCTCTTCTTCAAGGGAAACCCCTAAATTCTCTCTAATCTCTCCAAAACATGTCTTAAATTAAGCTCTCTTAAACCCTTTGGGGTATCCTTCTATTTATTGAGATTAGAAATTTGGAGACGTTCACAACCATTTTCGAGAAAAGTTCACGGTCTTAAAATCGAAATTTGTCACACGATCTCGATGTGGCGTCGCTTTACCCTGTTCGCGAAGGGGGTTCACAAGGTGGAGATCTCGGTCGTGATCTGGAAGTCGTGACCATGTTCTTTGACTCTTTGTCATGTTATCGGGGCTGAAGGCCTACGAGTCATAACACGAGACCTTTTGTTCTTCCTCGTGGTAGCCTCTTGAAATTCACAACCGAGTGAATAAAGATCCCGACCTAATCTTCTGCGATGTTATGCAATCTTGAGTTCGTGGCCGGATATCCCTAGCCATAAAATTTGCTCTATTATACGCACAATCTTTGTTTGCCCCGATTTCCCGACACTTGAGCCTTGATCTTCACCATATACGATAAACACACACATCTTCACTTAACATCAACCATGCATATGCTAGGAAGCAATTATCGGCTATAATACAAATTTACACATTTTGGTTCACAAATGGACATGACAACACCAAGCTATAGGGAGGTAAAGAAAACCTATTTGAGTGTTACCAATCCACCCATACTTAAGCGTTTGCTTGTCCCCAAGCAAACATGTGATTAAAATGTGCAACTCGAAGTCCTTACACCTCTCCCCTAAATGTGTTTCAAACCAAGATTCTCGATTGTTGGTAAGAAAGACGAATGCTCTAATTGTTTTATTTTACACCTTCCACATAAACTTTTATTATGTTCTTGAGATTTCTTTGGGTTTGTAGTAACGAAGATGTTTTGTGTTTCTGACTGGGCAAGTAGGAGTCCTATGCATTTTTTCTTTCTCTCCTCTACTTAGACCTCTGCCACTACATGAAGATGACCACCTTTGAACGGATTCGAACAAAATCTAAGTAGGATCTCCATGTACATCACCCTCTAATTTCATGCGATTGATTGGGAGTATTCATATTTTATGAGCTAGTACTGAAAATTTTCATTGAAAAAGTGTGATCGGTGCCTCACACCTAACCCTTTGAAAAGCAACGCCACTTCATTCAAAATTTGGTTGTGGAAATGAACAGAACCACCCGTCAAGCAACCACCTATAACTAAAATTCAAGCTTCACGTTCAAACAAACCACACACATTCACTAGTAAAACTTTCAAAGCAAGATACTACAAGAAATCAAACAAAAACACTTCGTTTCGAAACATCTCACGCATTTTGCTCCTTAACATTGATAGACAAGGAGGAGCTAGATTTAATAATTCAAAGCATGAAATCACATAGTATGACATTGGGGCTTACTTGAAACCCTAAAATTTTGAATTTCTTTTGGAGTAATATCTTAGGTTTCTAGCAAGTTTCTATCACACCAATCAACCACCATTCACATAACCATTCAATCAATTGCATTCTCAAACATAATCATAAACACATGCATTGATCATCATAGAGAATCAATCAATCGAGTAAAAACATCATTCATGAACGTTTAAAAACATGCAGGGTATATCCTCCCTACACTTAAGAGACACATGATCCTCAATGTGGGAGATCAAGGCAGAGGGATGTGGGTTATCGAAACAAAAAATATAAAAGAACTAGTCTACCACACACAACGAATCATTTACAAATACTAAATATTTCAGTCTAAGTACTTAAAAGGATAATTAAGAACATAGTTAAAGTTAAGTAAAATAGAAAGAAAGATAAGAAAATGATAGGAAGTGGCCCCTGTAATGCCAAGTGGAACTACTCATTACCGAAAGAAACATCTGGTTCATGAAAGTTCATAGGGATCTGGGGAAGGTGTCGCAACATAGGGAGGATCGATCAAGGACATGCCCATTCCAAGCTGCTTCACAGTAGCATGATGGTGAGCATTGGAATGTCTATGTGCATCGGCTAGGGGTGTAAGCTTGACCCTAAAGACTCGTCGGCCCACCCCGCCCTCCTCGACCCTCAGGGTCGGACATGGTCAGTTTAGCGTTGGGTAGGTAAGGTCAACTTAGAGGCGGGTAACTTTTTGACCTGTGACTCATGGCAATAATTAGTGATATGAAATTCCTTATACCAACACAATGGAACTGTTTGTAAAGTCTTAAAAGTTTTGGTACTATAATGCAAGTTAAAAATAAAGGTACTAAGATATAATTTTACCACAAAAATTTATAGACATGTTTGTAAAAATAAAGTTCAATTGCTAAATTTTAAGAAAATTAAATTTCAGCATCGAAATGTAATTTTCAAAAAATCAATCTAGACGTGCCTATCAAGTTGTTGTTTCAAATCGCATGGATCGATGCGTCAATTGCTCGATCAAATATAGGGGTGGCTATACGGTCCAGTCCGGTTAAATTGGACCAAATTGATCCGGTCTAGTCCGGTCTTTTCGGGAATATAAGTACCAAAGATTGGATTGGATACAGTCCGGTCTTGACCCGGTCCGGTCCCAATTTGATCTTGATTTTAGGTGTTGGGGGTCTCTTATCCGGTCTCTTATCCGAGTTTTTTTACTTAAAATCTAAGCCCGAATATGAGATTGGATTGTTTGCTATCCGGTCCCAGTCCGGGTTATACGGTCCGGTTTTGGGTAAAACCAAACAGTCTGGACCAAATAGCCAGCCCTAATCAAATACATCACATCCCTAGATTTTATTGATGTACGAATTAGGATAATAAATATCGACCTCCATCTAGCATTAAATATAAATGGAGTTAATATTTTTTCATTTGTAACCAAGGAAAATATAAATGATTCTCAAATGTTAGGAAATTTTTTATATGGTGAAGAAGTTGGGGCTTAGCTGCAATTAGGGTGAAAAAACAATAACTGAAACCCGACCCATCTGACTCACCCCAACTGTATTTATTGCTAAAACTTAGGTTTAATGTTAAGTGATGATTTTCTTTTGTGGAAACTACCTCATTTGGGTGGTGTGGGTTTTGGGTTATGCAACCCGTCGATACCCGACCCAATCCATGTTATAACTGTTGTTTTATGTGTTTGTATCTGAAACGTATATAAGTCGTATACAAGCATATTGTGAGAAAATTTTGATATTTTGTCATATTTACTCTCATTGTTTAACTAACTTAATACATTTTTCAATTAAAAGATTTAGACGTATATTTAACATAGGTTGGTTCACATTGGTTTTTATACAATTTTAGTAGAATAACATAGTATGGATGCGTTAGCTTATAATTAATAAAGTCTTTAATTTATTTTGATAAATATTTATGGAAAATACTATACATAGGTCGAAGCAAATTGTAATCAAGATCCAAGCAACAATTTCTATGCAATTCGGTGTTTTCGCTTTGGTTTATTTGCTTGGAATTTTCATTAGTTATATACTTTTTATGTTGGATTTTTGCTTAAAAATATCGTCGGGGCCCAAAGCAGACAATATCTTCGTCAAGAAAAGGTTGAAGATGTTACAAATATAACACACATGGGCCGTCCAATCATAAACAAACGATATAGTTCTATTTTTTGGTGGATTTGGATTTAGTACTTTCAAAGTCGTAGTGTATGGGTTAAGTGATTAAAACGACTAAATCAAAATCACCCAATCCATGAACACCGCTACCCTCAGTCACATACTCACATTGCATACTCATAATTTCTTGAGTGATGAAAGAGAGGAAGAAAGTGTTGTGGGATGTGAACGAATAAGATTGCGAGGGTTTTATAGTTGCGGCCGGGAGGAGCACTGATCGTTGAGTTCTCTAGCGATACACATGAATCGCTTCAGGTCAAATTGATCAACTCTTTCCCACATGCCACCTCAACTATCAGTCTCACATTTTTAGGCAAATCACCTTCCGCCGTAGTGATGAATGCGGATTGCTGAGCCGTTAACCAATCAGTTGTTACCTCGCTTGCCAACTCAATGATCTGTGAGCGTCGCTTTTCTTTATAGCGATCAAAGGCAGATAGCTTTAGAACTGAAGGGATTTTTCCAGAAATAACACTTTTTAAAAGAAAAATTACAAAAATAGCACCCAGCCGAAAAAATTTACACTAATAGCACCCTTTTTTATGGACCGCACCTCTAAGGTGCGGTTTCAGGTCTGCCCTACAGAAAACGCGCGACCGAGGTGCGGTTTAGGCCTGCCCTAGCAAAACCGCACCTTGGAGATGCGGTTTGTTTCTCCAAAACAAAAACGCATCCCCAAGGTGCGATTTTGCCACACAAACCGCACCCCCAAGTTGTGGTTCTGGTCAATCATTCTTCAAGCTAGTTGAGACTCTTACTTTGCAAGTAATTGTGTATTGTTGATTGAACGAATTGGGATAATATCAAGATAATAGGAATAGTTCCAAGTACAGAAATAAAAACGAAATTGAAACAATACTCAATTAAATAAACTAAGATAATAGGAATAGTTCCAAGTACATAGAAATAAAAACCAAATTGAAACAACACTCAATTAAATAAACTAAGATAAGGGGAATAGTTCCAAGTACATATAATTAAAAGTCAACTCAAAATACATCTCAAGGAAGTCCACGAGCTTCACCGGTGCAATCCATGACATATGCTCCCAAACCCAAAATTGGACGATGAACATTGCGCCGCCGACCTCCCTCACAGCTTTTAGAGACGCATTGCACAATTGTGGTAGATATTAGCTAGGCAAGCGGATGCCCAGCTATACTCCCCAATCTCCTCCCAACTACCGAGGATGATCCTAAGCCATCCACAACGAAGGAGATTGCTTGATTTTTTGGAGAAGAACACTCCTCCGATCATGCCTATGAGATAGACACGAGCATATCTTTCCTTCTCATCCTCCGAACTTTCCTCGGTTAGGGGATGACTCTCGTAATGGTCTCTAAAATACTTCGTCAACCAAGTAATTGAGACTTGGTGTTTCCTCATTGGTGGCAAGCGATCGGTCGCATCAACGCTCCCCTTGACTGGTACTTTCACTCCCAAAACACTGTGGAGGGGGTATTTATACCCATCAAACCGCACCCCCCAGGGGCGGTCGGGTAATTTTGCCCTAGTCAAAACCGCTGCTTGCCGAGGCAGTTTGCGAGTCACGAGGCGCTGACCGCGCCTTGCAGCTGCGGTCCCCGATCCATGGCGCGGATCTCTCTGCTGGCGCGCGGTCCGCCGTTCGATCGCTCCTCCATCCAACGGTCTTGAAGACCGTTCCGTAGAGAAGGCACACCGCACCTTCCTAGTGCGGTTCGCGTGCTGACGTGGCATGGAACGCACTCCTAAGGTGCGGTTTACTTATAAAACACACCTTAGGGGTGCGTTCCATTAAAAAGGGTGCTATTTATATCAATTTTTTCAGCTGGGTGCTAGTTTTATAATTTTTTTTAAACGTGCTATTATTGGAAAAATCCCTAATTGAAAAATCCCTAATTAAAGTGCATATCACTTGAGTCTGCAACGATCAAACAGAAACATGTGTAAGTTGTGAATTTCTTATAAATATTGTGTATATTGGAATTTTTTAAGTGCTAGAGTATTTTGGGGGAAAGCCCTTGTACCTTAGGACATACTACTAGATTTCTTGATGATTGTCAAATTACTCCTTATAGTCTAGACGTTCTAAGTGTATCTGGGCGTTGGGCTGTGTTTGGGCTAGCACAACACATGCACGCTTCAGGCTCGTTTATCTTGTGTCATGCTTGGCATGATCCATAAATTTTTATGTCGTGCTGTGCCAACCCATTTTCCAAATGTGCTAGGCCCGACCCTGGATCGGGTGTCATGCTCATATTCGTACTTAATGAAAAGGAGGAAAATAAAAGAAAATGAAAAAGAATGAGAAAATTGGATGGAGAATGAAACTATTAATTAAGACTGTTTAGAGAAAAGTAACATATAAGAGAGTATATGAATATTAGAAGCATAACAAGTGTGATTTGGCTTTTTTGTTCGACCATTTTTACTTATGGTAGTAAATACATATATATTTTTATGATAACTTCTAGCAACAATAAATCATTATTTTTGTAGTTGTATTTTGTAATATTTGAACTTATAATTCTTTTTATATTTTCTATAAAAAGTGTTTTTTGTGCCATGTTGTGCTTATACTCAATAGCGTCTCAAAAACATTAAATCTGCAACAATTCACTTATAGACCGTGTCATGTCCATACTCGTACTCGTAAAGTTTAGGTCGGTACGGCCCATGAATATTTATATTTTTTGTGCCCGAACTCGTGTCGTGCTCTAATCGTGCCGTGTGCTAACCCGGCCCAACCCCGCCCTATGCCAGAATCCAGATAGAGTTCTAAGCTTTGAAATTCGAAGAGAAATATGCCTTCATATTTCAAAACTTGTCTCTTGTGCCTTTCGCTTCGTTTACCGTTTTATAGAAATTGATGTACGATTCAAATAACTCATCTGTAATGGGCTCACGTTCTTCCTCTTCTTCTTTCGTAGCCCCCTTGCAATTCAAGGCAAATTGTTCGACCAACACTGTCACCACTGCAACGAAATACCCACTTAAATTAAACAACAAAGAAAATTAGCAGGAGATGAAATTATACATTAAAGAAAAGAATATTTATAGTAATAGAATCATTTGAATTGTCATTCATAGATTCGCAAATCTCGATCGTTTTAATACATATATTCTACCAGGAACTAGCCCTTATTCTTTTACACCGGTAATCTAGCTCTTATTATTTTTCATGGCCATAGCTACCAGGAAAGCTTCTACATGTAATCTACACTAAACCACCTTCTGTCCATGTCAACAGGAACAAAAAATACCAAGAAAACAGAGCAGCATTTGATGAACTATCCCTCCACCCTCTTCAAGTTCAAATCATTCGGCCTTGTCGTTGGCTGCAATATCTTTGAGCATCTCTTTCAGTTCACCATTCTGGACACCATAAACAAACAAAATCAAAGAACCAAAGAATCAGGCCAAGTGTAAGAAGAAAACAAGCCCTACCTAAGATGGCATTTGCCACACTAACTAAAAGCAAGGGAAGGAACCTAAAATTCGAGGGAGGAACCTGATGCAGATTGAGAACTATATCAGACCCACCAATGAACTCCCCTTTAATGAAAACCTGCGGAAATGTTGGCCAGTTGCTGCAAAGAAATCAGTGTGATTATCAGACACCTATTTACCTCAGAGTGCCATTGATGAAAAAGCTTGATCAAGCATCATCGAAGAGAGGGGCCCTTGCACTATAAATTAAATAAAAAACAAGATTTAATTTTTCCAAGGAGGAGTAACTCAGAGATCTTTTAGCACTTGATGGTGCAATCTTGAGTTGAAATATTTCTTTTCTTTTTCACCTGAATGATTTCACAGCTTCTTTGAGCTCCGGATTCTCAATAATGTTTCTAGCACTTAGTGGAACCTCTGCGCAGGAAATAAAAAGTAAATACGGGTATGGTGAAATTCCACAAGCCACAGAAGATCATTACCACGTAGCCATTCAAATTCATTCCCACCAAAACATCTTATACAACTTATAATTGCACTGTAGCCGAGTAGGTGGTCAACCGAAGTTGTGTAAGGAAAAATTCCCAAGTTGGTGGAAAGGAAAAAGGAGCCTATGCTAATAAATCAGTCTTAGGCGAATCATGGGTTTAATGTGATCCAAATTTTTTGACAAGTTACTTACCATACTGTCTCAGTACTCTTATGGCCAATGCACTAAATCCACACTGAGGATAGTCAGGCACACCTTTCATGTATAGCATCACAGGATTGTCTCTCACATCCTACATGGATAGTCAATAACAGGACATTGACAAATTCCACAATTAGCGATCAAATAGTAATGGAATGACTATCTCCACAGGGCACAATAGTTTGTCTGCCAGAATTATTAACTCAGAATACCTGCTCAACGATATCTTTCAAAGAAGCTTTAGCATTCCCGGTCTTATTACTTGGATGGAAGTCTTCATGAGTGTCAGGATCACTAGGGACTGTAGACGAGTATCTTCCAGTAGGGTGAACCCATCCAGTCGCCTACACAAAATTTCAACGTGAAAAGACGAATAAAACCATTTTGGAAAACACACACACACACACACACACACATACACCTACACCTACAAAGGTTAGGTGCTCAAATGAATTGATCCCAACTCTGCTAAAACTCAAAAGCCTATGTAAGGTTCAAGAGCGTTCAAACATTCTGCTCAATCTGACTTCATTTTTGTTGGTACTGATGTAGTGACATTATTACACATACTACAACGGTCATGTCACATGATGATTCATATTAATTATAGTGGTTATATATAAGCATTATGCAATTCAAACTTCTGCAATCAATACAAAGCCTATCCACATCTCACATCCTATACGGAACTGAAATATATGCACAAGCCAAAACAGTTTTACATTCAGCATATCTACCAAGTTGCTTCTTTGTTTGTGATGCTCTCTCATCTAAACTTAACCACAAACCTGGTAAATAAAATGGAGTAGAAGAATTGCAAGCGAAACCAGAATTGAAAACAATCAAGCTCTGCTTTCAATGCCAAACTGCATGTTAACTTCCTGGCCCAAGCAAACACGCAACCATACCGTTCAAACCAAAATCAAGAACAGGATTTTAGCTCTTACAAATCTACTAGACCGCGATGCCGATGGACTAGTCAACCCCTTCAAGAGCATACTTGATAGCAATTTAGCCATTGTTGCCTGTAGCAATCAAGTAAACCGCGTTACTTATATAAGAAACTCAAATCCAAAAGAAGCCTAAAGAGAGGGGGCACAATGACAAGTTGACAACATTGAACATGCGAATGTAGATACTCTCATAAGATTCAGGTGATCAAGTTTCTCAATGCACTGGAAAAGCTATAAGACCCCATAAATAGAATTATCTGATCATAGACTTCTAGCACCAAAACCCGCGGGCTTGCCCTTTTACTTCTAAAACTACAACAGGGACTTTTGAAGGACAGAAGGATTCACCAAACGAGAGGGGATTATTAAAGTAAGGAACAATAAGACGTTTTGCAGGATGCAGAGGAAGCTTGCATTCCGCAGAAAACTTCACATTATGAGAATCGTCACTCATTCTCAATCGGTTAACTCAGCACCATTGGTTCACCCTTCCCTTCACGTTCGACAAAAATATAATTGATTGAAGTTCCTAACTGGGTATAAAGAAGAGCTAATTTGTAAATTCCAATTTTCGCCAAATAAATTGGGTGAGGATCACGGGTAACTACGTTAAACGAGCAGAAACTTACATAAATCCATTGGAAGGAATACAAATTACAGATGCAAAGACTTACTGCTGGAAGGAGAAGAAGGCGGCGGGAGTCAGGGGACGAGACGGAGCGGAAGTAAAAGACGATTTCGGTGACAGGTCTGACGGAGGCAGGACAGTGGAGAGGCAAGAGCAAGATGGCGAAGTGGCGGGCACTGGGTAGCCTTATTCTTTTAGTCTTTACTGTTGGTTCGGTTCTGGCGTTCTGCCGTCTGCGGGTGAGGTTAGCTAGGTAGTTGTCCAAAATGATCACATATCTTTGGTTTCTGTACATACGGGTTACATAGTTTTTATGTTTTCCAAAATGGTCACATGACTTTGAAATTTTGTATGGTCACTTTCTTTGGTCTTCATCCAAAATTTTGTCCAATTCAACGTCATTATATCTCGTCATACAAGGCATTCAACCAGAGGAGTCCAGGGAAGACGTAGCAACCTGGGGGCCAGAGACAGATGGTCTGTTCTAGGAGTGTTCAAATGGTTACCATGGTTATAACCAAACTAAATAAGGCTAATACGTTCGCAAGAATGAAACTCAAAAGAATTGACGGGGGCCCGCATAAGCGGTGGAGCATGTGGTTTAATTCATTAACCATAGAATACAATATCATAACCAAATCGTCCAAACTAATACAACAAACAAATTAACCAAACTAAAGTTTAATCGGTTTGGTTAATTGGTTAACCAGATTAACCAATATAAAATCACATTATCATTGATGATGAAAATTTTCCGGTTAATGCAACAATTCACAATTTATATAATGAATGAAACATAACAATCAACACGTAGTTATAGTTGACCCTTAACAAAAATACATGCACTAAGACAATTATCTTACGATTAGTATAGAAGTATTCACCTAACAAAAATTTATGACAATGGTATGGGTTAATGAATTGTTGTGTTTGTGTAAATTGACTTAGTCTCTTAGCAATTATCATAGGCTGGAAATGACCTTCCTTTCAAGTTTTATCCATCATAATGTATGAAATTTATCTAAATTAGGCGTCCATATGTTGTGGTCTACACTTTACATATACAAATATACACTATATGAGCAATATTGAGCTTTATATTTTATGAGTCTAAAAGGGATGAACGTTAACTCTTGAGTGGTTATGCAAAGTATTAAGTATGTGTATATAATATATGTTAGATATATGACTAATTACTTAACTGGTTAATTTGGTTTGACTGGTTAGGAGTGTCTGAAACCAAACCAAACCACCTAAACCAAACAAGCTAAAAACTTTAACCAAACCAAACCAATTATCCAAATTAACCAAACCAAATTATCCAAATAGTACCGGTGAAAACGGTTACCACGGTAACCAAACCGTTTGAACACCCCTAGTCGGTTCCAGGTCAGATCAACTTACGACATAGCGAAGGGAGGGACAAATTAGCTAGGGTCTTCGACGGGTGGACTCTATGGCGGTCGCAAGGTCCATCCCGAGTCAGTTATTTCCTCTAGCTCGTTGTCCGAGGCAGGCTCCTCACCATTCAGGAGAGATCACAATGTCACTTGGCGAGCTCCCCACAATGACCCCAATGCAGAGATCAGGCAAAGTCAGTCTTGCATGTGTTGTCGGGCTGCTCCTTTTCCGCGTTAACTTGGTTGCAGCTTTCGCAGTTTTCTAAGCAACAAGGCTTTTTCCATAGACCTATTCAAGAATGGATATCGAAGCACATTTGCGGCGAGCATACTGGACTCAAATTTGGCATAATCTGTTGGTCCATTTGGCGGACCAGAAATTATCGCGTCTTTACAAGCAAGTTCGTAACCACTCAAACTTTTCTATAATGCGTCCTAGCATGGATTAATTTCGTGCAGATTTCCATGGACAAAGACATGCTTGTTCATACCAGTCGACTGCCCATCAGAACGGAGGTTGAGATCTCTTGGATGACGCCACCTCCTGAGTGGGTTACTCTCAGTTCAGACAACTCCCTTATTTCAGATTCAGGCCATGTAGCGGCGGGTGCCCTGAATCAAGATAATCTTAGATGCTGCATCGCAACATTTGCTATTAACTTGGGGATTTGTCATATCACCCGAGCAAAATTGAGAGGCATTGTAGAAGGTCTTCAGCTGGCCTGCGACATGGGTTATCATCGGGTTCGTTTGGAACTTGACTTGAGATGTGCGATCCTGCTCCTCCAGAGTAACAACAGGATTGATCATCACCACATCGCCATCACTGACCGGTTCTAGGAAGTAATCACCAAAAATTGGAAGATCTCTATCTCTCACATTTATCGGGAAGGCAATAAGTGTGTTGACTTCCTAGCTAGTCGAGGGCATTCCCTTTCTTTGGGTTTCCATTCTGTTTCAGTTGATCCTGCTCTTTGTCCATTCATTTTGTATGACTAGGCCTTTCCGAGCCTCGTCTTGTTGTGATTGAAAGTTGAGATGCTTTGCATCCATTCACCCAAAATAAATTCTCATCATCCAAAAATTTAATAGTACCACTGGTCCTTTCTATACATTATTAAACAGACAACAACACAATCCTGTTGCAATCATATTGGATCATGCAATTGTCAATATGATTTGGATTGAAGGATTACCATAATGCAAAATGAAAGTAGTCTGTGCTAGTTTCTCATATTGTTGTGGTATACTTGTGTCTACAAAGTCGACAGTGCAAACCTTCTCAAAACCATTCAAGTACTTTGGTTGTAGTCTAGACACCCTAATTTTTTAATATCCTTAGTAGAACAAGGATGACATACATAAAGAGATATTGGATCATCGTATACAAGTGGTTCATGGGAAGTTAGAAAAGTTAAAAAAAGTATTGAAACAATAATATAAAGAGGTATATGGAGACATAAGTTATCAATTAAAGGTGACTTAAGAAGAACTTCTAGGAGCTCAAATTGTTGATATGAATCACCCTAATGAAGACAATAATAGAAGATTTCAAGAACTGCATGGGAAATTTGATACATTATTGGAAGAAAAATAAATCTTTTATAGGCTAAAGTCGAGGGACTCCTGATTGACTTTGGGTGATAAAAGCATTGACTTCTTCCACAAACAGTCAGTATTCGTAAGTTCGAGAAAGCACTTCATAAAATAGAATAGATTATGGTGAATATCTAGTTGAAATAGAGAAAACAACATATGAGGTGCTTAAATTCTGCAAGAAGCTTTTTGGTGAGGTAAAAAAAAGAGGTCTTCCCTAATGTTGTAGTTTTGGATTCTTTGTTAGTATGATCTAATGAAGAGATATATATGTTTATTCTCTCAATCACAGCTGAGATTATCAGAAAATTTATATTTTCTATGGATGCACAAAGAGCGCCATCGCCTTATGGGTACCCTGCTGGAGTCTACAATAAGACAATGAGTATCATAGGATAAGACATCACTGAAGGAGTTCTGGACATATGTCATATAGGTAAGATGCCTAGTGGAGTTGATGATATTGCAATGTCATTATGCCTAAAGTCCCTAATGTATAGCATCTGAAAAACTATAAGTGAATATCCCATGGCGATCTCTTGTATAAGATAGTGGCTAAAATACTAGCTAAAAGACTGAGAGCAGTTATGCCTTATGTTATTAATGGAAACAAGTCAGCTTTCGTTAAGGGTAGGTATGGATAACATTCTCATGGCTCAAAAGAACCTGTAAGTGGATACCATAGAAGGATATTGTCTTTTTGATGTACCCTATATAGTTTGATTCATTGTTGATCTTGTAAATTATCTTAAATATGAAAGAAATTTCTATCAAAATTGCATTTGAATCGGTCAAAAGCGAACTAATAAACTTGCTTCTTTGTGATTTGAACCCTCCATTTTTATTTACTTTTGGTTCGATCACATATTCTAATTTTTTCTCGCTCGAAACCAAAATAATGGATAAGGATAATCACTACTTGTTATGCCATAAAACTGCACACTAAATTGCTACCAAAGTTTCCAAGTGCATGGAGAAACGAACCGAATACATGTGGTGTATTTGAGGAAGGAGATATTGGCTTTCTATCAATGACTGAATTCAATTCATACCTTAACTTGAAACAACTGCTGCCAAAGTATAAATTTTCTCTTCCAAGTCTCTTTTGCTCTCAAAGAAAATACTTCGGCAGAGATTGGATTTACCACAAGTTACAAACACAAGTGCAAATTTTTGCCCATTACCTAGGTGATTATAATAATGATTCTATTTCTAATATGCATTAATACAAATGCCAAAACTAGGAACCTGTCATCATGCGTAATGCCATGGCGGCTGCTACGAGATTACAAAATATTACAGGTCATTCATTTACTTCATTGTAGTTACACCCCCCAAAATGCCCAACAAAAGTCTTGACCAACACAGAGAGGACAAGATGTGGTCGTTACTTGCATCCTTGATCCAACAAGAGAGAGAACGAGACTGCTACTCTACCACCATCTCAACTTCCTTGAACATTTTACATTAATGACATTGTTTTATATTTTTATGCGCTTATTTTTTTGGGTAAATACAATTTAATATCCAAACCTTTTATTTTAAACAATATAATAGCCAAACCTTTTCGAAAACAATTTAATATCCAAATCGTCAACTTTCTGTCTGTTTGACCGTTAGTTGACACTTCAAAAAAGTTCGAAGTACGACACTTCATCAATATCCATCGATATCTTCTCTGAAAAACCACCAACATATCATAGTTCCAAACCCGAGAAGTCCATGACTCCACCATGATGGTATAGAATATCTAAATATTCAGTCATCTGAAATGCCAAAACAAGAAACAAAGTTGTATTGTGACAATTTCCCCTAAACAAAGCTTTTTTGAAGTGTCAACTAACGGTCAAACAAACGGAAAGTTGACGATTTGGATATTAGATTGTTTTCGAAAAGGTTTGGCTATTATATTGTTTAAAATGAAAGGTTTGGATATTAACTTGTATTTACCCTATTTTTTTAATATATTATAAATTTTTTTCTTGATTTAAATATTAATAGAATAAAAATGTCTTATAACGAATTTTTATTTACCATTAAAAATAACTTGAAAATATCCTTAATTTTTTTTCTCACCAATCTAAAATATTACATAAAATAATTGTTTTAGTATACATTTTGATATCATATTTTAGTTTCCAACTTATTATGATGACAAAAAAGTTGCTAAAATTGTTAACATCATTTGCAACGTCATTGCTTTGGTAACTAGTTGAAAAGCCGAATCCATTCTTTTAAACCGGTCAGTCCACTAAGGCATTCTCTGGGTTGAGGCACGCTTGTTTCAACTTAAGTTCTGATCCAGAGGGAGCTCCGCCATTTGGCCCACAACCACCACCAACTCCACTCGAACTGGGTCTGGCCCGTTCCTCTCGCTTAAGTTCGTCTGATTCCATGTTGGCCAACAAATGAAGCCAAATTTGAACCATCCATCAGTGAGTAAAAATTTAAATTAAAAACTATAATGGTAATCTAATTTGGTGTTGTTACACTTTAAAATGTCGCAATAATGTTACTAATTGTACTATCTATGACATTTTGGAATGTCTCAACAAATATCATTATTTGTATCATATATGACACTTTTGAATATCCATACAAATATCACTATTTGTATCACCTACAGAATTATGGAATGTCCCATTAAAGGTCACTATTCACATCACATATGATGTTGTAAAAAATGTCACTATTTGTTTCAACCACGATACGTTTGACATGTCACAGTAAATGTCACTATTGGTATCAGCTATGACACTTTGGAATGTTCTGAGAAATATCACTATTTGTATTTACTATGTCGCATTGAAATGTCTTGAGAAATGTCACTATTTGTATTTACTATGACACATTGACATGCCATTAGAAATGTCACTATTGGGATCAACTGTGACATATTGGAATCTCACAAAAAGTGTCACTAATTGTATCACCTTTGACAATTAGGAATGCCTAAAGAAATGTCACTATTTTTATCAATCGTGACATATTAACATGTCCTTAAAAATGTCACTATTGAGATGGGCTATAACATATGGAAATGTCGTGGTAAATGTTAGCATTGGTGTCAACCATGACACTTTGGAATGTCCTGAGAAATGTCACAATATGTATTTACTATGACACTTTGATATGTCCTTAGAAATGTCACTATTGGGATCTACTGTGACAATTATGAATGTCTCGAGAAATTTCACTATTTGTATCAATCGTGACATATTAACATGTCCTTATAAATGTCAATATTGAGATGGGCTATGACATATTGAAATGTCACAATACATGTCACTATAGGTATTAACTATAACAGTTTGATGTGTCTCTAGAAATGTCACTATTTGCATCACTTACGACGCTTTAAAATGTCACAAAAGATGTTATTATGCTACGATTATAAGTGTCGCAATATGTAAAATAAACGTCACACAAAAGTGATACTGACAATTGTAACAAATGTCACAAAAGAAGTTAGTGACACTGGATTATGTGACATTTGTGTGTCATTTGTGTAAAACGTCAATACAACACTATTGTGACATTTTTCTACCTTTTAATGACAATTTGACTGAATTTTAAATTGTCACTTCAGCTGTTTTTTTTTTGTGTGTAGTGTTGGGCACTTCACTTTGAGTTGCCTCTTTGAAGATCATCAAATTGAGAAAGGGCTGATTGGTCTAGGATCTAATGTAAACATCTTACCAAGTTGTTCATGCGACTCACTTAGTTTAGACAACATCGAAGAGTGATATTGGGAGGTCAACTTGGATAATAATTATAAATTATATGAGCATGCCATGTTGAGAGCCCTACGCATCTAAGTGGATCCAATTATCTTTCATCAGACTATGTGGTATTAGACATGGTAAAAGAAGATTTCTACTTGTTAATCCTCAGTCATTTGTTCTTGGCCACAGCTGGGACAGTTATGAACGTGCCCAACAAAGAAATCACTCTACATGTTGGTAACACCAAGCATACGGTCAAGATGGATAAGAAAAATGAGTAATCAACTCTAGATAAGGATGTTCCACTTCTACAAGTCCTTCCTAAGGATAGCGAGTCTCTCTCAAGGGTAGGGTGAGAAACCGCCAATTGCTATACACCAACCCTCAACTCATCAGTGGGCTTCATGTCCTAGTTTCATATTGTGCATTTGACACTCATTTTCCTTGATAATTTCTAAATCTGTGATGAGGAAGCTATCAAGTTCAATATATTGGATAAATAGAATCTTACTACATCGGTGGCTGATGAAAAAAGCTTGCTCAAATGGCTTTCTCCGTCACTCATAAAATATCCAAACTCTTATGGAGAAAATTGATCAGCTGAAGAACGAGACTTGGAATGTGTACCTAGACTCTTGTAATCACTATAAGGATTAGGGTTTCAAGGCTCGCCCTCGTGAGTTCTTTCCCATAATACTGAGCGAATGAGAGGATGGATGGGTCTCCGAGGCCAACTGGTCGTCCACCTAAGACAATTGTCTTCCCCTAGCTCAAAGGCATCAAAGAAAAAGTGTTCCATGGAATCCATGCCTGGCATCCAACTAAAGGGTGTTAAACAAAAAATTTTAGTGAAGACAACCCAATGTAAGTTTTTTATTCAGTGACGTTGACATAAACTAGTTAAA